TAAGTTTGCAGCCAACATCAAAGAAGATACTTAATAAATGCATGCCGCAGGGCACAGCCCAGGAGCAATTACTCTGCCGTTTTTGTAACATAATGAAGAAAAACAAAACCGAAGAATTGCCCCAAATGGCAAAACTGCTACTTGATTTCTAAGTTAGTCAAGAAAAACATTAGACAAATTTACCTAATTTTGATATCCATATGGTGAATTAGAAAAATAAATGTTTAAGCAAGACCTAGATAGGGTATCTAAACATTCATGGAAATATGAATTATCTTAATATCTAGGTATTTCAGGCTGCCGCTTTATATGATCTCCAAGGCCATGTCAACCACTAAATACTTACTGAGGGCTTACTACTTACAAAACATGAGTAAAGGGCATGCAACATCTCCTCGCTCTTGGTTCTTGCCCACTTTTAATTACTTTTGATATATATACCTCAGTGTCAGGCAGGAACCCTGACAGCAAACAGGGTTTGCTGGCTTTCCACAGAAGACATGAGATGGCTAGAAATAAGGGTGTTAGGGGAGGTAAGAGAGGCCAGTCTCCCCAGCTTCCTAAATCCCTTTCTCAAAGCTCTCTCTGTATTTCTCCCTCCCTTTCTCCTCTCCTCCTCCTCCTCCTCTTTCTTCACTTCCTCCTTCTCCACCTCATCCTCTCTCTTTCTCTTTCTCTCTGTCTCTCTTTCTCTCAAGAGTTAAGACCCTGCTTTTCTTTTTTTTTTAGATATTTGTATTTACTTATTTGGCAGAGAGAGACACAGAGGGGGAACACAAGCAGGGGGAGTGGGAGAGGGAGAAGCAGGCTTCCCGCCAAGCAGGGAGCCCGAAGCTGCGGCTTGATCACAGGACCCTGGATCATGACCCGAGCCGAAGGCAGACGCTTAAAGACTGAGCCACCCAGGCGCCCCAAGACCCTGCTTTTTTTAATCACAGGAAATTATTAGACAAGGTTGTCTAACATAGCTCCAAAATTAGCTCCCGTTATTTGAATTGTATAAAAGTTTTAAGCCACGTTCTCTAAAATTCCCAACTCCTCTCTTGACACAAACTTGAGCATAAGACAAATATGGAGTCACCCACTTTCTATGCATGTGTGAATTACAGAGATCTCTTCTACATACCTTATACTTTTCCGAATATTTGCAAACTTTGGATATAAGGTAGCCAAAAGAGACAATGCTATTTCAAAATTGAATTTAAAAACCATCCACTGAATCTTCTAAGATCTAGGAATTCAAAATGAGCAGGAGTTGAGCTCTCCTCTAAGGAGCTCGCCGCTTAGGGAAGAAGTATGCATTTCAAGTCCTGAAGCAGGTACGATCAGTCTAGTGGTATACAGCCAATATCCCTTGACACAGTAAACCCTTTCTTGTTCCAGTATTCATTAAAAAATTGTTTTAGTTAGCCTGCTATTTTTGAGGTTTATGGTTTTTTTAGCAATTATATTTCAGAGAGTTAAATATAGAGACAGAGTTTGGTGTCCAAGACAATAAATAGTAAAGCCACTAACCAGAAATAATCCTCACTCTCAGCAATATAATCTAAAGGAAAACTGCTACAGAGGTATATTGTAGATATTCTACTTAGCTCCCCTCCCTCCTTCCCCACCACATCTGATTCTCTTTCTCAATACTGAGAGGGGATGGCATTTGAACCACTGAGATGGCCTGAATCATTGAGAGTTCTGACGGGGAAACATAACTGAAATGAATTGTTGTACATTTAGAATTTGTAAATGGGATGTCTAGGTATTCGATAAGAAAGAGTGCCCACTGCTACTTTTAATATTGTGCACAACCTAGGCTGATATGGGTGCTATTTGATATCTCAGGTAAAATCAACGTAGTACATGGAAATGTAATTCCATCCTTCATGTGACATTTCTCCCCCTTAGTTCTTCAGCGGAGATGCAAGATGTATAGAGGCCCAAGAGGCATTATACGCCCAGAAATGTTACATTATGGTGCTTGACATTTTAAACAATAACATTTATATGTTATATTTAACTGTGTGTTTAAGTTGCATTTATGATTGGGATTTGGAGCCTTATGATCTCTCAAATAGTTCAGGTCATTGCTGATGACTCTTGAGTAGAGATCACATTTGTCCTTTTTGCTTCCTATCTAGATACTGTGTTCTCCCTGAAGCTTAAATAACATACGATTCGTACAATGATAGCCGGTGGCTGTTACTAATGCTTTTCCCTAACTTGAAGGAGATGGTAACAGGTTTGCGGTTGTTTGCTTGATATTAGTCTAACTCAATAGAAATTTTCAACGTACTCCCATTAACATGTGGAGAGAAACAGGGTTGAGTTTGAGAAGAAATTATTGAATGACCTCTTTGAAAACTTTTGCAGTATTTTAAGTTATGGCCATAGGTAGTGAAGGAACAAGGGGGCAGCTCTGCCTTGGGTCTCTCTCTCATGGTAAAGTGACTCACACATGCACGAGAGCATTCCACCAATGCCCATCGTGTAACACTCCCACAGAACCTTCCTTCTCAAGTCACCTGTTTTTGTTTATCTTTCTTTTTATCATGTGTTTTCTTCTGTAGAAGCCAAACAGTAACTAATTAATTATATCCATAAAACATAACACATAAAACATATTTATGTATATGTATTTCTTGATCATACTGTTAATGCCTTCCTTAGTTTCTCTTATCCATAGATTTTTCTAATTCTCATTTACCTTTTATGTGACTGATCCTTAAAATAAATTAATATTGAATACATGTGACCAGGGAAACACTTCCTTGTGACTTGCACTTCAATCCGTTTTAGCAGAATCTTAAAAAAGCTCATTTAGTCTGGTGCTTCAGACTAAATTCTGTGATGGATGGGTGTTGCTGACAGTTCCTCTGACTTAATTTTTGCTGATGGAGTAGACTTAACCCATCACTGTCTTCTTATGGTTTGAGATGGAATTTCTCTTTACTACCTTTTGCTTCTTTTTGGACTAAAAATTTTATGAGGCCTGATGTTGATCTGGACATAGTCAGGGAAACTGAGCATAATCTCATACTAATTTTCAGATTATATTCTACATTTGTGCCAAATTTTCATATGCCATAAATATTTTGTCAGGTGGATCTATGGTTTATGAAAATGGGCCAAAGAGCAACATAGATCCGATTCCAATGTCAGAACAGCCTAGTGAAGCTTCATAATGTCAGGACAAAGAAACAGGTAAGAAACCAAAGCACCAGAAAACACATGTATTAAAACCACATGGGGAGGGGTGCCTGGGTGGCTCAGTCGGTTAAGCATTTTCCGCTCAGGTCATGAACCCGGGCAGGGTGCTGGGATTGAGCCCCACATTGGGCTTCCTGCTCAGCAGGGAGCCTGCTTCTACATGTCCCGCTCCCCCTGCTTGTGCTCTCTCTCTCTTTCCTTCTCCATCTCTCTGTCAAATAAATAAATAAATCTTTTTTTAAAAAGTACATGAGGAAGGACTTCCAGGTTTAATGCTAACACCATGAGGACCTGAGAAAGTTCCCCTCATGGATCTGGCAAGGGAACAAGCAGGGTCACCACTGTGAAATAAGCCAAGAGCCTTCTCAATAACAAAGACCCACCTACCCTCCAGAGGAAAGGACTTCACCAGAGCACAGGTCTCAAACTTAGTCTGGGCTCCTGTGGTCTTCCTGTCTCACCTAAGGAATTAAAAAATAGTAATAATAACATAATCAACAGGGGCCAGGCCTTCATGGGAATGGATAGGAGCAGGGAGCAGAAGGGGCAAGCAATTCTACTGAAGAAATGTTTGTGAATGTCACGGACCAAAGACACATGAACAGCTGTAATAAGAAATTTTAATAACATTGAGAGAACTTTGGAGAGCTCAAAATCTCACCCAATCATCTGATTAAAGAATAATGGTTTTATTCACTAGAAGTACTTTTGAATACCTAGGATAAAGGTTGTAATGAATAAGTGACTGAATAAGAAGGAGATCATCTTAAAAATGAATTTCCAGAAAAATTAAAAATCAGTTGAGATTCTTTAAATTTTGAAGAGTGAAGAAAGTTATCAGAGCTTCTTGTCTTACAAATATCGTTTGGCATCACTCTTCCAGGATTTGGAGAATTTTGCTTGACATTTTGAACTCAGGGGATATTTTAAACTCATAATCCAGAAAGGACCTTTGCTTCTTTGGCCACATGTACAAGATTGGTGCTGTCTACTCACTGCGTTCTTCCTTTAATGTTTGTTTCTACTCGTCAAGTGGTACTTAGTATAATTTTATGACATTTATATTATTTTAATTAGCAGTTTTCCATTAAAAAATGGACAAAGGTCAGCTTCTTACTTGGAATTTTGGAGGTTATATGTTACAAAGAAATTGATATTTTTGTGTAAAGACACACCTGTCTAGACATAAGTTACAGTTTAAAAAATCAGTAAACTGGACTAAAGTTAAAGTCAAGAATAATATACAATAGATCTGTTCTTTGGGAGATGGGTGAATCCTCATATCCAAATCCAATCTCAATAGCACTATTAAAAATGAACTGTTGGCCACTACTCCAGTACTCTTGAGAGTGTTGATATGGATTGTGACTTGTATTTGTCTATTCACCAACTTATTCAGAAACAACCTTGGATATATTTGGATACACCTGTAATAAATTCAGTTATTATATAAGGCCCTGAATTTATATTAAAGTCTATCTAAAATGTGCCATCCTGCTTATGGACCACTGGAGTTGCCACATTTTCTCCCCATTTCCCAAGCATTGGTGCCCTCTCTCCCTCTCCCTCTCTCTGTCTCTGTTTTTCTAGAACAGTCAACATTAGCTTCCAAAGATTACAACAAATACCCCCGACTCTTGCAGACACAAACCCAAATATTGTATGTTTCTTACTGTTCCTCGTTCAGGTCACTGGGTAAACACTTGCAATCTGGAACCTCATAGCCTTGTGTACTAGGGCATTTTCTAGAATTGATTCCAGGTTTTATGTTCCTTTGTCTTCATTTTTTCTGAAGGGAGACAGAGGATGACAGCCATGCAGGAAGAACCACTGCTTAATGACCCAAGTCAAGATTCTAGGGTGAATTTTTCAGGAAGTTAAAGTTGGGAACATCTGTTGCATCACAGAGAATCTGGAGAGATTATCTAGGTCACTGGTGAAGGGTTTGAGATAAACTTAAGGTAAATACAAAACTATTAAAAGCTAAAAAGAGACAATTATTAGCTCTAGGTGAAAACCAAAGTTCTGTAGGAGAGAAGCATGATCATTTTTACCATTTGATTCAGCTGAGAAGAGTGTTGGCAAAGTCATAAATATATAAACACCAAATATTGAAATAATCAAACTTTAATACAAATATTTTGGAAGGATGGGCACATGAGAAATGTATGCATGTGTGGTGAGTTCGTGGAGAAGAAAGCATCTGCATCAAAATACAATGTCTAAAATTGAAAAAAAATCTAGTAATGATATAAGCATGCTATTCAGAAAAGTAGAGAGAAATAAAGTAATCAGAGGAAGTGAAATTTGTTGTCTCAATGGGGGGGGAAATGGGAAGGGCAGGAAACTTTTTTTTTTTTTTTTGCAAAAACCCCTCATACAGCACTTTGATTTTGAACTCCACGTACTTAGAAAATGCACTGAATGTTGCAGTGCTATAGAAGTTATAAAGCGTCAGTGGTTTGAATTTTTTCTGCATTTAACTCGTTATGTTAATATTATTCTAGCGGACTTTTTTTCTAATAATCTTTGATGGCAGGTAAAACTAATGATGGTGAAATACTGCACTTTATTCATTCAAACAACAGAATTCAGTATGTCAGGTACATTGCATGCCCTACAAAACCAGACAATCTGAAATTACACATAAAACTGGAAAAAATGTTCTAAACAGGGTGATTATATAACTCATCATTCAAACAGGGACAATAGGCAATAAATGGGAATTATTGCAGACATTTATCACACATATCCCCAGATTCGGTGTTTTATTATGATACCTTACAACACAGTTAGTGCTTTGAATCTGAAATACTATGTAAACCAACCTTGAAGATTTTGTAAAATTCCCTTAAAGCATTGCAGTGAATTCTAGAAGCCACAGTTCCACACATGGGTCACTAGCAATAGAAAAGTTAAAAAAAAATACTTGTTTTTATGTTTCAGATAAATGTATAAGAGCCTAGAGACTTGACTTAGAATAATTCCAGTGAAAAGACCAGTAGAAAAGTATACTAATTTATGCAAAAGCCTGAATGTGAAGGTCAGTACTTTCTAGGTACTATGTTCTAGTAGTGGCCAAACTAATGATGATACTTGTGTTATAGGTTTGCACCACTTTATATTTTTCAAAGATATTTTTCCACTATTGTGGAAAGAAGCTAAACACTTTACTCACAATTTAGCACCTCCAACTGAACTTTATAAACATTGAGTTCTACAATACCTCCAATCTTGCTGAAATCTCATATAAGCAGTACGGAATACAGCACATTATTATAAATCAAGGAGAAGCACTTTCATTACAGCAATTTCTAATTACAATGTGGACTCTACCAATTTGGTAAATTACGGTAATGCAGCTGTAGATGTGATTTAAGATAGTTCTATATAAACCAACATAACTTGAGTATTTACAATGAAAGTAAACCTAGTGAAGTTATTTTTATCTTCCTTTGTCTTGTAAATTGATAACCAATGTATTTTAAATTTATATGTATAATATTTTAGTAATAAATTGATTCACTTAAAAATCCTAAAAATTTAATATTGACCAACTAAAGAATATAGCCTCATCTACTGCCTTGCATCCACAAGCATAATTACAAGCTAATGAAATTTCAATTCTATTTTCTCAGTATGCATAAAGGCCCTTAAATAATGTCTCAAGGTCTCTCTGATGATAATACAATCAACACCTAGTCATCGTAGGTTAATGGCATGTATTCTTTCCCCAACAAAACTGTATACTCTATAATGACATTTAACAAACTTACCTAACTTGTCATCACACAGCAATTCCCTTTCATTGGTTACTTTAATGGAAATATTCAAATTTACATTTATGGCTTTCAAAGGAAACATAGATTTTTATGTAATATATTATATATCATCATAAATTATATATGTAAAAAAGAATCCTAGGAAGCATCTTGCTCCCTAAGTAGCACCTTTCAAAAAAGATTTAAAACATAATTTAATTCAATTCTGACATTTTATTCTGTGGAACTGTTTTGATCCGTTTCCTTAATAACAATAGAATAGTAGGTGTAACAGATTAGGGGGAAATATATATATATGTACATATATATGTGTGTGTATGACACACATACACACACAATATACTATATATACCATATAGTATCTATATAGTAGGTATAGTTTTATACATATACATATTATATATATATATATATGGTAGAGTTATGGAACTCTAGCAAATTAGGAATGATATTAAACAGACAATAATGAAAGTGCTTTGTTAATAAGTAAAGATGTCCAGGGAAAGGAAATTAGTGAGTAGAATTTCATCAGCATGAACAGCTGAGAGTGTAACAGGACCAGTGGCAGTGGGTGGGATGGGGGGGACAGAGAAATTCCAGCAGGACTTAGAAGGGTTCCAAATGCCTGAAAAATCCTGAGCTCTGCAGAGGAAGAATACACGAAGAAGAGGGACAGAGGATATAGTTCTCATAAATATTCTGAGTGACAGATTAAAGAAAAAGCAAAACATTCATGGAGAAAGAGACTGGTTTTAAATGGTCTGCAGGCTCTGCTGCAGAATTCTTCCATGAGTGAAACCTCCAGGACAATGGCATCTGGTCGTATTGTGCACCCCGCCCCCAAACACATCATCTCCTCTGTTCAAGTGGAATTTCCATTTCCCCATATTGCATTGGTAGAAATGCTTTCCTTCTCACCCATATTAGTCATTGAGAATTTGGAAATACCTCACGAGAAGTGGACATTTTTACTTTTTCCTTTCTGAAGCAGGGAGGGGCACTCATAATTTCTGTGATTCACAGAATCACTACACATTGGGCGCGCATAGTAGTTAAAGCTATTGTCGTAAAATAGCCACTGACTCCCCTAAAACTGTAAATTCCAGCTTCAAATCTTCCTAGATAACATGAGAATTTGGTTTGGTTCACTTAAAATTATAAAAATCTACAACTTTGATACTTACATGCAATTTTTGTGGTGAATGTTAGAGATGAGTAATAAATATTTGAGACATGAATGATCGCTATCTTTGGTAATGACCACTGTGGTTTCAGGGTGATCATGACCGTTATTTAGCTTCAGGACTACTTTTCTTCATTTGACCCCGTCTAGAATTTGAACAATGACAGGATGGCCACTAATCGCTCTGTATTGATATCGCTAGGGTTGTCTTTGGCCAAACTGTGAAGCAAGACAAGGTTATTTCTGTATCTTCCCATTCTTTGTTCCCTGTTCCTTCTTCCCTATAGCGCCCCAGTGTTCCTCCCCCTCATGTTTCTACCACAACCCAAACCACACTTCCAACTACCATTCTTTTTCTTATATTCAGATTTCCCATAATTATTTTTTAAAAAAACACTAATAATGCCTAGATGTCTGACTCTTTTGAAACGATTTACATATTTGAAATAATTCTCAGAAGTAGAAAAATTCAGTATCAAAAACTTAAGTTATTATTGGACCATCTACTACACTTGCTCAAAAAGCTAAGCCAGGGAGAGTGGCAAGAATTCCATGTGGAATCAGGGATTACTTTATTTGATAACAGAGAGTGAAGAGATTTCCCTGTCACATTTGTCTTCCTCTTGGCCATTCATTTATTCTGCTGCCAACTACTCTGCTGGACTATGCTGATAGAGCAGATTTTAAAGTGGGGAGAGAGAAAGCTAACCCAGATCCATCCACATATTCTCTTTTTAGTTGGTTAATAAGAGATGTTTGGGAATGGCATTGCAGTGCACATTTTTTGGTCACCAGCGCAGCTTCCAGGCCCCATTTCCCTCCTCTAATGATACCCTGAATTTCCTGGTAATGTGCTTTGGCCTCAGTCCTGGTTCTAGAGGTCAACCCTTAATTGACTTAAGCCATTTCATCCTTTCCAGCCATAATGCCTGTTTAATGATGGACAAATAACCAAATTTGTTTGCTTTATCAGAGAAGTAAACTCTCTACCAGGCAGAAACAAGGATTATGAATTGCCAAGAGTTGTTGGAAACACAAGGGAAACACATGAATAAGAGTTAGGCTAACACCAATAAAGTGGATCCAACTCCACGAAAGGAGGCCCAGAAACGGGTTTATGCCCAAACTTAATTCTAGACATGACATTTAAACCTTGGTAAATAACCCTTGCCTGAAGCTTGATCTCTCCCCTGGATTCTTCCATTACATGACTCAGTAAGTTTCCCTTTATGTAGAGTCAGGTTTTCTGAAACACTTCTGTTAAGAATGCTCTCCAGGTTATAAAGTATTTTTCCTATCAAATTAAATATATTCAACCAACTGGTATCCAGGGTAGGCACTGAGTAGTGGGAAAAAATTATGTAAAGATCCACATACATAACAGTCATCATAAATTTGCTCAGATCAAGGAAAAAGCTTAGATTCTGGTCTTTGGCCTGTGAGAGAAGGCTGGGTAGTTGACATAAATATCCTCTCTTGCACCATCCGATGATTGATTGGTAGAGTCGGGATTTCTGTAGTTGTTGGCTGCCTAGAAAGACAGACAGAATGTCAATGATTCACTGCATTTCAGCAGCCAATAAAGATACTCAAAACAGATCTCTCCTTAAATCAACCACAATATAAGTCAAATTTCTATTATAATTAATTTCATAAAACATTCCCTTCTTTGTACTCAACTTATATGAGAAATCCCATTTTTTACTTTCAGGGCTCAGAATAAGATGCAACAGGAGACTACTCTAGATTATCACTTTTTATATTAGATTATGAAACAGTCTTAGAACTCTCTCCCAATGTCCCAGGCTGTTTTGGTAGGAACCATTAGTCTCATTTTTACATGGAAGTTTAGTATAGTATTTCCCATAGTGGCACGGTGCTTAATAATTTCAGTTGAATGAATGCTTTAATAAACAATACTTTTAAAGTACACAGTGTCATGTCTTGACAATAAGCAACTAAACACAATAAAAGAAATTAACAAAATAAACTGGCATTACTTTCAAGAAGATGTCATATAACCTTCTCTACCCTAATCAAGTCACTTTGGCCACCTATACATGTATGTGGCAGAAAATATGTAGGCATGGGTGAGGGAGAGAGAAATCGAGAGGAAAAAAAGAAGAGAGAAAAGTCTTTGGTGAGTAATTTGGAAACTGAGTGGTTTTGGTGCTTGCAAGGAAAAAGCAAAAAGAAAGTTGCAGTTCCACTGGTAATTCCAGAGCCTGTTGAAAACCCCAAAACAATCAAGTAGGTCAGCCTCTTTCTCTTTCCCAGTCCAACTCACTATCTTTCTAATCATCATTAAAAATATCATTATTCTACAAAAGTTTGAACAAGTTGAATACTTAATATAGGAAGTTGCAAAGTTCCTTCCCTTCCCTGACATTCACAGCAATAAATGTGGCTATAGAGTGGCTTGAGTTGACAACAGCTAAGGACAAAGAAGGGACCCCAAAATTGTGTATAACAGCAATGTTTTATCACTTGCTGGAGCGGCAGATGAAACAAGGCAAAACTTCTGTAGTCTTTCCAGTTACTGTCAAAAAGCCAGCCACGTATTACTCAGAAAAAAAAAAAATTTGGTGTGTAGAGGGTAACTAATAGAAGAAAAAAAATTAAACTGATAAATAGATAACAGAAATCCAAAGCACACATATTAGATTGTCAGAAAATTTTTATTACTTGATGTTTTGGTCATGTAGAATTCAATTGCAAATAATTAAATTGAAGGGAAATGATGTAATTTTAGATAACACTTGGGGAAATGTTTTGCTGTAATATTTTGTAAACAGGGGCACTTGGGTGGCTCAGTTGAGCATCTGACTCTTGGTTTCAGCTCAGGTCGTGAGATGGAGCCCTGCATTGGGCTCCATGCTCAACAGGGAATCTACTTGAAGATTCTTTCCCTCTACCTATCCCTTTCCCCCACTCCCTCTTTATTTTAGAGAGTCTCTCTCTAAAATAAATAAATCTTTTTAAAAAATTTTGTAAACAGAATCATATATGTTAAAGAGAAAATCTGACCAACAGTGGAGACAATGAACATGAAGTAAGACAAACTATTTCAAAGGGCATCAATAATAAGAGAACAGGTCAGAGAACAGGTGTTTCCTCAAATAGCTGATCCACTACATGGCCAGGTAATTGAAAGGAGAACAATAAGGTTGTCGACTGCAAAATGGATCCACTTTACAGGATATTACAATGCACAAAAGGTGGAAAATGACAGCTCTGAGAAAACTTACCTTATTCTGTGCATCCCAGGGTTGTTTAAATAGTTTTTTCTGTCTCCTTCTCCTAAGAATACATATTCAATAGAGGCATTAAGATCTTACACTTCAGCACTAGTATTATTGCATATAGTATTATACCCTACTTGTACCGCAGCCTACATGCCCTCACTAACTATGTTGAAATTGCTTCATACATACCTACTCAAAATTCCCTTGACCTAATTCTTTTCCACAGATGGTGAAGGCATCTAAATGGATATCCAGCCAGTGTATATTAGTAATTAATCTCAGCGAGCTTACTAAAGAATGGTTCATAGTAGGTTATTGCATAAATGGCTTACTGCCTTCTCCAAATAATTTCAAGCTTAGAGATTTCCCACAATTAAAAACTTCCTTCTCAATGCCAACAGTGTAACATGTTGGATGACAGTGATAATAGAGTTAAGCTTTAGAGAAAGTTCCAGGTGTTTTACCAAACCTCCTCAATGGATTATTTTATTTAGCTTTCATCAAAAACTCTATATTTAACTCAGATTGGGAAACTGAGGCAAGAGAGGAAGAGTAACTTGCCCTAAATCATGTGGCTGGCTAGTAGTAGTGTCTGGATTTGAATCCACACCCTTCTCTCATGACTATTAGGCTCACTGCTTCTGGAGCCATGTTGCCCCAGTTCCATGGGCCATCTGGAGCCATGCTATTCCATAAACTCTCGACCATTCCAATGAAAACTATAAAAACCTAACATCAGGAGGAATCTTTTAAAATTCAAGAGAAGAAGAAAAGAGGCTACTATAACTGAATGCACTGGATGAAACAACTCTACCCAAGTGCATGAAAATAGTTATTATGGGAGATGATGACTATCTTTTTTTCATCTCCCTAAAGAAAAGATTTTTATCAGACCACAGAGGAGATGGGTTAGATGCAAAAACTTAAGGTATTTTTTCGTTTATGCAAAAAGATGAAGTTGTAATTCCTTCATGGAAAGTTTAAAAACCAGCCAAGCTAGTCTCTCTCCAGGGAAAGGTTCAGATGATGGATGTTGTTCTCTCCTAGTCACTAGGAAATCCTCCTACTGTGTCGACATAATCACAAACTGATCTTACTCTGTGTGTATTTGTTTACTTATAAAGACTCTCTTATACAATTAATTTAATTTTTTGATTTGTTAAGTTTACTATGTGAAACTGATGTTTCCAGGTCTTTCATATAAATTATTTACTCCTCAAAAGAAATCTGTGATGTAGATGCTATTACTATCCTCTTTTTACAAATGAAGAAACAAATCTATGACAGTGGATCTTTTGTCAAATCATCACTCACAAGGCTTGCTATATCATAATATAGATTAACTTTCCCAAAGAGGTCCAAATATATATATTGTTTATATAAGCCTAGAATATTCAATATGATGAAGAAAAGAGAATGAGAAACTTAGAGTCAGATGATCTGTGTTTTACTTGTGCTCAGCAATTTACCAGCTTTTGCATCTATAAAGTTCAGTCCTCTCCTCTGTAAAATAAAGATGGTGAACACTGTGGTTTGTTCTAGGTTGACCGACCATTCTGGTTTGCTTCATTCTCAGGAGTTTCCCCAGAATGAGGGATTTTCAGTGCTGAAACTGGGAGAGTCCCAGGCAAAGCAAAAGAGCCTATTGCTGTGAACATCAAAGTTGACAATAAAAGGAAAAATAAGTGTCTAACATTTTGCACACTGAACATTAAATTTCTTCCTATAGACACACGCGTCAATGTGTCCACTGTCTTTTGGCTCCCGCCACACCTAACCAAGGCTACGCACGTCCACCAACCACGTTCACTTAACAATGTGACCATTCGATCTCTAACTGGAAGCAACACAAAATGAGGCAGAGAAAGTGTGGGAAATGCCCCTGGACACACAGGCTCCGGGGTACTGGGTGTGAAGGAAGGACTTGGTTTCGTTCAGGCACACTATGATCTCCTCTGGCTTCTCCCCAAGTCAGCACATCAGAAGCGGCAGGATTATTTTAAATGGTCAGGAAGACAGAGTTCTGAAGACCATTGTTTCAGCCCTTGGGTCATTTTTCATAACATTTCCATTCTAAGTTACAACCGGGCGACAAGGTAGAAAGAACAAGCGTTTCTTCCTTTGTGATGTTCGGCCATGATTACACATTCAAGTCCACTAATCTTTTTATCGCATTTAACCAAGTGGGACAATATATTCTACAGTTCAATTTAGCTATTCATGTAAAAGTGATGCATTTTCATGAAGCTAAATCCATCATGTCCAACATCTGTGACCCTCCGGAGATCCGTGCTGTCACTCACTCTCTCCTACCATGTTGCCCGTGTTCCCGGGTGCTCCTGTTGTCACAGTCACCCTCGGAATTTTTCATCAACCAAGGTGAAGCAGTAGAAAAATCCTTAGTGTCACTAACACCCTGGGCTCCTTCCCTCAATTTGCTAATTTGTTCAATTTCCATCCAGGGAAAGACTTGAGGGCAGCCCGTGATGGAGAGAAAGGGAAAACGACAGTTCTGTGTTTCAATTTAATTAGACAAATGCTTATTGACCATCCATTATTTGGAAAGATTAGTGCTAAATGCTATCAAACACTAAGAAATGAATAAAATGCAATCCCTGACATTTTGAACAGAAGGGAGGACAGCACAAAAATGATGAAGCTACAAAGCAGGCTGCAAGGCTCAATAGATGGTGACATCAGGTCTCTTTGCAGGGAGGGAGAACCAGGACAGACCTCCCAAAGGGGACACGTGTCCCATGCCTTGAATGAGCCACAGGAGTAAAGCCAAACATGGGGTTGGCTTTGTTAGCTACCCAAATGGGAAAGAGAGTCGGGTGTGTTCACAAAATGAGACTTGCAGTGTTAACAAAATTTGTTGACATTGGGGGCAGTAAAGTAGAAAATATAAATGAACATTAGGTTGGGGTCCCACTAATTGGGTGGAAGTCAGAACAATGGGCACCTTTGATACAGAGTTAATGAGTTTTAACCTTATTCTGGTGGCAGTAGAAAGACAAGAAAAGGTGTTAAACAGGAAGGATACTAGCTTTTAGAAGAGCAACCGGGAAAAGTCAGATGTGTTCGAAAGAAAGAGGAGACAGCTGGAGCTGGGAGCAGATTGGGAGCATTAACTAACCTCCAGGGAGTTGTAATACCAGCTCCAAAGAGGTGAGGCTGGGATATGGAGATGAGATAGAGAAACCTACCTGATATCCTATTAATACGCATGCACTTGCACGTGTGTGTGCGTATGTGCATGTGTGTGTGTGTGTGTGTTTGGAAATATTGCTGGGGTAGAAGAGAAGAGGAGATGGCTGTATTCCTTCCCTCTGCTAACAAGAGAACACTTTAGTTGGAACACAAGAATAAAGAGTAATTTCAATTCAATATGATTACAGCTAAGATTATGACAAATACCTAGATAAGTGAGTTGGTGAACATGAGACAGCAAGAAAGGGCAGAGTCAACCCAGAATATTCCAGCAAGTTCCCAAGTGTGCCACAGAGAGTAAAAGGTAGGAAACTTAAGTAGAGTTTGACTACCTACTCTCTCTAAGTTAGCCCCTTCCAACACACCTCTCTTCCTCAATAATTTTTTTAGGAATAGCATCTCTGTTGCTTGTTTCAGAGACTATACAACCATTTAAAAGTATGTTGTTTATTTATTAGAATGTGCACTCCATACATCTTGTTCACTACGGTTGCAATAGATATTTGATGCATGAATACATGAAGGCATTATTACTGCTCAACCCTGTTCTTCCCCTTCTCAGAATCCCTCCCTCCCTCTCCCTTCTCATCACACACATGCACGCACAGACGGACGGATGGGTGCATGCACGCACGCAAGCACACACACCACCCCTCGCCCAACACCCTCTTTTCCTTGCAGGAGGAGGAAGAGAGAGGACAAGGGAGATGCAGCAGAGGCTCCAGGCAGTTGGCTGCCCAGAATATGAAAGCTCTGCTAACATGGGAGCAGTTCCTACTAATTCTTAAATGAGCTACTCTAGCTTTCTCCTCTGATATTACCACAACTACTTCTCTCTTTTGTATGAAAAATACTCGAAATGCTGTATGTGAGTGCTAAGGCAGCTTGGCCTACTATTGGGTTATTCACAGAGAACCCCTCATATCAGGATGACTTAAGGGAAACAAGAATCAGGATGAGCTGCAATACTCACCTGTTATAAGAAATGACAACGACGATGGTAATTAGGATAACAAACAGCAACAATAAAACTGCCCCTCCAGCCACAAAGAGAATATACTGGTTATCAGTTTTACCTAGGAGGAAAAAAATATATAATAGGAATTAGGAATTCAGCTAAAGCCAGAAAAAAAAACGGTGGGAAAATGAGGAAAGGGAACATTGATCAAATAGAGTAACAATTCAAAACGATCCAATGAAAAAACAGGATGAGAGTAAGGGAAAAAGAATTTTTACTTTAGAGTCTTCTAAATATTTGTGACTCCTCACAGATTTTTATTAGTTCCTTGATTCAGCTGAGTTTAACCTCTTAAGAAGAACAAGAATAAACTGGTGAAGGGAGGGGCGCCCGGGTGGCTCAGTAGGTTAAGCGTCCAACTCTTGATTTCGGCTCAGGTCCCAATCTCAGGATCGTGAGATTGAGCCCCGCGTCACATGGAGCCTGTGTAAGATTCTCTCTCCTCTCCCTCTGCCCCTCCCCCACCTCTAAAAAAATAAATAGGTGAAGGGGATTAAGAGGTACAAACTTCCAGTTATAAAATAAATAAGTCACAAAGATGAAAAGGACAGCATATGGAATATAGTGAACAATATTGTAATAACTTTCTACAGTGACAGATGGTAACTAGACTTACTGTGGTGACCTTTCATAATGTATATATAATTGTTGAATCGCCATACTGTATATATGAAACTCATTTAATATTGTATGTCAACTATACTTCAGTTAAAAATTTTAAAAAGAACAAGAATAGAAAGAGTGTATGTTTGAGACAGATAACCCTTCACTCTAAGGAGCTCCCAATCACATACATAAAATCTTTTGAAAAAAAAATAATAACTATCAAGAGTATATAAATGAAGGGATGCCTGGGTGGCTCAGTCATTAAGCATCTGCCTTCGGCTATGGTCATGATCCCAGAGTCCTGGAATCGAGTCCCACATCGGGCTCCTTGCTCAGTGAGGAGCCTGCTTCTCTCTCTCCCTCTGCTGCTCCGCCTGCTTGTGTTCTCTCTCTCTCTCTCTCTGTGACAAATAAATAAATAAAAATTAAAAAAAAATTTTAAAAAGAGTATGTAAATGAAGATTACTTCTTTTTTTTCTTTTTTTTTTTTTAAGATTTTATTTATTTATTTGAGAGAGAGAATGAGATAGAGAGAGCATGCGAGGGGGGAGGGTCAGAGGGAGAAGCAGACCCCCTGCTGAGCAGGGAGCCCGATGCGGGACTCGATCCCGGGACTCCAGGATCATGACCTGAGCCGAAGGCAGTCGCTTAACCAACTGAGCCACCCAGGCGCCCCTGAAGATTACTTCTTAAGGCTGATAAATTAAGTACATTCACACAACAGTATAATTTTAAAAGTAGAATTTAAGAAATATTTTTCACTTAATCCGAGTTAATGATAAAAAGTAATCAGAAGAGTCGCTTAAGTGTCTGCCCATGGCTCGGGTCATGGTCCTGGGGTCCTGGGATCGAGCCCCGCATCGGGCTCCCTGCTCAGCGGGAAGCCTGCTTCTCCCTCTCCCACTCCCCTTGCTTATGTTCCCTCTCTCCCTGTCTCTCTCTCTGTCAAATAAATAAAATCTTTTTTTAAAAAAGTAATCAGAAGACATATGTTACTCTGACTCAGTGCTTAAATAGAAAGAACAATGGTCCAGGAATCTGCAATTCTCTCCCTGACTCTGTCACTCTTTAGCTGTGTGACCTCCAGCCAATCCCTTACCCTTCTCCGCATGCCTTTCTTCATCTGTCAAGTGACGACAATGACAAGGGTTCTAATTGCATCACAGAATTGTGGTGAGATTCTAATGAGGTAATATTCAAATAAGCAATAAATTACTAGAGCAACATCCTCTCTGAAGCGAGATCTCAGTGAGGTCAGGGACCATTTTATCTTTAAAATATCCTCCTGCTCATGAGGCTCCTCACCCACCACCTCCCACAGAGCTCCTTCCCAGGAGAAGAAACCCCATCAATTTGCTGTTACCAGAGGCTCCTGGGTGGCTCAGTCAGTTAAGTGGCAGACTCTTGATTTCAGCTCAGGCCATGATCTCAAGGTCGTGAGATCGAGCCCCACATCGGGCTCCATGCTCAGCAGAGATTCTGCTGGAGGTTCTCTCTCTCCCTCTGTCTCTGCCACTTTCCCTCTCCCCACCCCTGCTCTCTCTTTCTTTCTCTCCAAAATAATAAATAATAAATAATAATAAATAAATAAATCTTTAAATATATGTATTTTTAAATATAAATATATATATTTGTCAGGACTGGGAGTGAATTGGAACCTGGGAGCTGTCCCCATTGCCCTCTCTCTTTGGGGCAGCAAACTCGCCAGTCTCCCCTCCTGCAGGAAGGGGCCAGGCTGTGGCTGATGAACAGCATGACTTCCCTCTAACCTTGAAAGTAAAGCCCAATGTTTGCTCTGTGATTCCCACACAGCCTGCAATCCTACAGCAACCTGAAAATCATGCTTTTCATCGGATTCTCCCTGATCTTTCCCTCAGATTACTTCTTCCTTCCTGACCTACTACTTAGGTGCGATTTTTTTTTTTCATGATAGGAGCTCAAAATCTACATCCACTCATTCTTTTGTACAAAGTGAAACTAAGTCAAATAATAAATATTATTTTCATTTTTCAAACTCGTTGAACCTATAAGGTGAATAAAAGTAGAAAAATGTGTGAACTTTAGAGACTTTGTACATACAGTCTAAGAATGGCTTTTGTGCAAATATGATGGAGAAAGGGAAAGCTAAATTTATTCAGACAAAAATACATTGAACCACTCCTACAAAAGGAACAATGAAATTTTCTCCCCATCAAATAAGAATCAGCTTTTTAAGCTCTTAGTACATTATAAAAAATAAATGAACAAAATACCTGAAATTATTTTGCATTGTAACATAGGACTATCAAAGGACCACACTTGTTATACTGAAATAATTTGAGTATCACAGATGCTAAGGTTAAATCAAACAGGCAATCCTGGTGAGAAAATGAAAGTTATGATTAAAATATTCATTGACAGTATTCTGGGAAAATTGTTTAACCACTTTGAAAATGCTATTTAGACTTTTGCTACAGTAAAAAAAAAAAAAATCTGGGTGGACTACAGCTCTAAATTTTTTCATGTAAACAGAAGAAAATATAAGTAAGTATTATTTAATCTCTGGAATGAGAAATGGCATAAAAATAAATAAATATATAGGATTCACCAGGTCAACTGAAAAATATCTGTAGTTAAAATGATCACAAGCAACATGTCAAGACAAAAGAACAGAACCTTTAACACATCCTTGCTATTAAGAAAAAGCTATAGGGGGGCCTGGGTGGCTCAGTCAGTTGAGCCACCGACTCTTGATTTCAGCTCAGGTCATGATCTCAGGGTCACGAGATCCAACCCCACCCCCTTGCCCCCCAGCCAGAGCCTACTTAGGATTCTCTTTCTCCCTCTCCCTCTGCCCCTGACACTTGCACACACACACACACTCTCTCTCTCTCTAAAAAAGAAAAGAAAAAGCTATAGAAGACAAAATGAGATACAAATAACTTACTATGAAAAAGTACATAAAGAACAAGCTTGCATAAGAGGAAGACTGTGGTCAGACTGAGCATCTCAAGCTCTCTTTGGAATAGTAGAAACTGCCACAACTGCATCCAGAAAGAATTCAGTCTCTGTGTGTCACAGCCTTTCACTAGGTGCTTACATATTTGATTAACTATTTTATTCTAAAGAAATACTCAGGAGGCGCCTGTGGCTCAGTCGTTAAGCGTCTGCCTTCGGCTCAGGTCATGATCCCAGGGTGCTGGGATCGAGCCCCGCATCGGGCTCCCCACTCAGAGGGAGCCTGCTTCTCCCTCTCCCACTCCCCCTGCTTGTGTTCCCTCTCTCGCTGTGTCTCTCTCTGTCAAAAAATAAATAAAAATATTTTTAAAAAAAGAAAAAAGAATATTCAGAAATGTGAACAAAGGGTTCTGTAAAACGCTTAGAACAGCAAAAAGAAAATCCTTATTTCCCCCCAGGAGACTAAGAGCAAGACGGTATGGCTGTGGTTCTCAGACTTACTTTGCATCAGCATCACCTACAGGCTTGTTAAGCCACAGATTTCGGGGCACCCCCGTCCGAACCTCTGATCCAGAAGGTCCTGGTGGGTCTGCATTTGCAGCTCCCATGCAACATCTATGTTGCTGATCTGAGGCCCATTCCTTGAAAACCTTGGCTATAGACACTTGGATGATGTATGTAAGAAATTCCAATGACATGGAAGACTACTGACTATAGACTCTAAAGTTAAGTAAAACTTCAAAACCAGCATTGACAATTTCGCCTGCTGTAATATCTCCATCAGGTATAGGACTTATGGGAAAAAAGTCTGCAAAGGGACAAATGCCAAAATATTCCAAACTTTCTAAAGGATGTATTGTTCTTTTATCAATCAGAAAAAAAAAATCATAGTATAAAAGTGTAAAGGCCTGCATGCTTAAAACAGAATAATCTGACAAGTTTTCGTGGTGATATTTAAAGTGCAAGTTGTAGAGAACTTTTTTTGTAGAAGTATATTCAGAATCCTTAAGATTTAAGATAGCATTCCTTATTAAACTCTCAATTAAGTAGAATTAAGTAGAAACCATTGAAATGCACTGGTTATCTGTTTCACACTGTTCAATTATAAATCCAAATTTCAAATGTATCCTTCAGTGTAAATATGTTACCTCCTTTTAACCTCTTCTAGTAATATTTGACCTATTGGAGTCAGATCTGTGTATTCATTCATCTTTTAACACATAGTATCTCAAGCCATACTATGGCATTACAGATGAAATGGCGTGTAAAAATGAATTTGGTTCCTAAAGGAAAAACACCAGCTAGAGCAAAACTGCTTCTCTACTCGAAATACTGCTCTCACTCACTTTCCCCCAAGGTTTCACAGGTCTCACGGGGGAAGGGCTCAGTCCCACAACACTGCCCCCCTCCTGCGCCTGCAAATCCAATCACAAATCCAGGCCTCCCTACCCCTGATGGACTAACCAGGTATAAATCCAAGGTTCCCAGGATCTCCTCCTCGAGGTCGATAATTTG